CTCCTCCTCCTCCTCCTCCTCCTCCTCCTCCTCCTCCTCCTCCTCTTGGCTTCCGTGCCGATGTTTCCTAACCCGCCAGATAACATCAGTCTTGCCCCTCCGAGTGATTGCTGCTTGTGGTGTGCCAGATAGGGTGTGGTGCAGCGGAGAATGTAAAATAGGTGGGTGGGGCAGGAGGGCTTCGCTCCACTGCAAAGGTGAGTCTCTTTGCTACTCACCCAGGCCCAGTTACAGAGGGCTGGAGGAAGGGTCCCCTATACGGGTAGTCCTCCACGTACGGCCGCAACTGAGCCCAAAACGTATGTGGCCAAGTGAAATGTGTGTTGAGCGAGCTTTGCCCCGTTTTACGACTTTTTCTTGCTGCCGTTGTTAAGTGAGCCGCTGCAGTTGTTAAGTGAAGCTGGCTTCCACCATTGACATGGTTTGTCAGAAGGTTGCCAAAGGTGGTGACATGACCCCTGGACACTGCAACCGTCGTAAGCACGAGTCACTGGCCATTTTGTTCAGGTGACCAGGGGGAGGCTGCAACGGCCATAAGTGCGAAAAACGGTCATAGGGCACTTTTTTTGTCAGTGACGTTGTTCACTTCGAACGGTCACCAAAACGGACTGTTGTAAGTCGAGGACTTACCCGTACAAGCTGGAAACGGAACCTCCGAGGTCAACGAGACTTACCTTTCCTCTCCTTTGAACCTTCAGGTTATGGCTTTGTGGATTTTGACAGCCCCACAGCAGCTCAGAAAGCTGTGACTGCACTCAAGGCCAGTGGAGTCCAAGCCCAGATGGCCAAGGTAAGCCTTGAGGTGCAGCCCTGCATGGCAGAACACCCCCCCCAACCCCCATCCCATTTCCACGAATGAGAAGGGGAATGTGCCTGACTCAATCCATCAGTTAAACTTCTGGTCCTACACCAACAAAGATGCTCTTTGGGATTTAGCCCTCATGAAGCCAGACCTTTTTCATAACCTGGCCATGATGGAGATGCTTTTCTACAGAGTATATTCTCCGCCATTACTGTGTTTCAAGGGTACCGCTGGTGCCTCACTCCATGCGGTTGGAGTGGTGGTGCTGGGAACAGTCCCTTCGAGTAGATGTGATGGTAAATTCTGCAGGGAACCTGGGTTTTCTACTCTAGCCATCGTTCAGATAAGGCCTAAAGCAGAAACAAGCAAGACCCACAGCTAATGTACCTCAGTATTACATGTGAATCAGTTCTCAGCTGTTACGCGAGACTCTACCATAGCAGATGGAATTATTTATCCATTAAGTTCGATATCCTGGCTTGGAATCCCAGAATAATTTCCAGTATTGCTCAGCCTCTCTTCGTCAGGCAATGATTCCTTTCCCAAAATTCTCTGGAAAAAGAATACTCCCCCCCCCCCCTTAAAAAGGTCTTTAACTAGAGATGTCAACAATTGAAGATAAATTGTTCAGTTAGTATATGCCGTATTAATTCCTTTCAAAAAAACACACCTTGTATCTTGCCGATCATTTTAATTTCACTTTCCCCAAGCTGATGCTTTCCAGGTATTTTGGGAGATATAGTTTTGGAAATTATGGTGGCACCATTTTGGCTGGGGCTGGTTGCTTGAACCAGGTGGCAATTTTGATATTGAAACAAGCTGCAGTTCCTCTTTCTCCTACAATAGAGAGAGAGAGAGAGAGAGAGAGAAGAGAGAGAGAGAGAGAGAGAGAGAGAGAGAGAGAGCTTTCTCCAGCAAGGGTCCTCAACCCTGGTCCACAATCCAATATCAGTTTGAGGCCCTTTGGGAACCGGCTGTGGCCCCTTGGGAACTGGGCCGTGCAAGCGGTGGGCTGGTTCACAAAGCCAGAAAGGTTGGGGACCATTGTTCTGTAGGTTAAATAAGCTACTACTCAAAGAAGTAGACAGCTCCATTATTGTGGTTCCACATAAGAAATAAGTAATGCTCTCTTAGCCCAAGAATACCTTTCACATTTGATGGGTGGCAGACGTTGTACTCTGGTACTCCAGTAGATTTGGATTTACTCAGAGTAAAGTACACTGTAATCAGCAGTGGGGAACCTATGATCCTCTACATTTTGGTGAATTAAGGCCACGGGATTCCCTTGGAATGCCTTTGACAGTCTGAATCTATCTGTTTGAAAAGAACAAACCGTGTTTGTTCCCCAGCGCACATAGGGCATGTATGTCATTCCCAGTGTGCAGTTCCTGCAGTTAGCACACTGGTGTGTACGTGATGTAGCCTACAGTACTCTAGGCCATGTTTGCTGCCTCCCTTGCTCTCCTTGGATGCTGGATCCTTCTCTCAGCTTCTCTTCATTCTGCTTCACAACAGTGAGTCTCACCAGTGGGGTTGCTCAGAGCAGAAGCCGGCGTCTCTACCGAGATAATACGTTGAGTTCTCTTTAGAGATGGAAAGGCCTCAGTGTGCCTAGAGAAAGAGAGGCAGCCAGCATCTCAACAGAGGCAGGTGACACACGTTCAGGAAGGGAAGGGGAGAGTCCAAAGGAATGCGTTCCTGGGATGGGATGGACTATTGCTAGGCAACAGCCTGACTTCTTGTTTCCATAGCAACAGGAGCAGGACCCTACCAACCTCTACCTGTCAAACTTGCCTTTGGGCATGGATGAGGCTGAATTGGAGTCGATGCTGAAACCATTCGGACAAGTCATCTCTACACGTATCCTACGTGATGCCAGCGGCACCAGCCGAGGAGTTGGCTTTGCCAGGTCAGGCCGGATGTCTGGGACAGGGTTGGGGATGGTTTGGTTTAATGGTACATGTCTTCTGCTCTATACACAGCAGTGCTGGCTTAAAAAGACAAACTGGCATAGCCTGTGTTCACTTGGGGAACCCCTCAGAAATGGGATCCATTCATATCCTGTATGGGAGTGAGCACCTCGAAACATTCCTTCGCCCAAGGATGGTTTTCTGCAGGAATACCCGCACAGAGACTTGCTGGGCTAAATATTCCCTTATGCATGGAGCATGTGCAAAAATATGCTGAGCATTTGCAAATATTTCCCTCTTGGTTCAAGGCGGTGATGGGCATTTGCCTTTTTACTCTTCCATGCCCTATCCCCCTAAGTTTTAGGGTTGGGATAGCTGTAGCTACACTCTTCTGAGTTGGTTCACTGGGACTAGATATGGACATTTGGCATTTCTATGCAAGTTTGTATACATGTCTCGGAAACCATATTATTTTAGCTGACTGTATGTTGGGTTTATTACCAGGTGTGTCTCCCCGTTTCTCCTTCCCTAAACGTGCCATTACTATATCACCAAATGTTCCTAAAAGATTCAGATAGGCTGCAGGAAAAGACGGCAGAGCATGGACACTCAAAACGATTCCTTTCCATGTTTGATTGGCAGACAGAAAAAGCTGGACTTCAGTGAGCACTTCGTCTGTCCTAAAGCCTTACAACATGTGGCTGACTTGTGGGCCAGGTGTTTTGATGTGGACTATAAAGCCCTAGGCTACCTCATTCACTTTTCCCATGGCACCCAACTGCCGTTCAGTCTTGAGTTTAGCCTTAGGTGTAGAAGCCAGGAGTGGGATGCAAATATTTTTACTACCAGTTCTGTGGGCGTGGCTAGGTGGGCATGGCCATGTGACTGTGTGGGTGTGGCTTCTTTTCATGCAGGATCCGCCCCCCCTGCACTCTGTTTTTTTTTTTTTTGGCTTCCTGGGCCTCAGGGAAGTCTCCTGGGTGGTGTTTTTGCTCCCAGGAGGCTTTCCTGAGCCCCAGGAAAGCAAAAAATGGAGCGCGGGGAGGCCATGCAGCACACACACACACACACACACACACACACACACACACACACACGGTGCCTCTTTTTGCCTCCTGGGCCTCAGGGAAGCCTCCTGGGTGAAGCAATAAGACAACAGCTGATCGTCGGGAGGAAAAAAAAGAAATACCGGTAACTGTTTTTTAACTACCGGTTTGCCCGAACCGGGCCAAACTATTAGAATCCCACCACTGGTAGCAGCAAGATATTTAATCAATTGCTTGAGAAGGGAGGGGAGAAAAACTGGTAGCAAAAAACTAGTGATTTAGAAATGGCTTGATGTGGAACAGGAATGCTGAACAAGACAGAAGCACCATTGATCCTAAAGTTTCCTGATTCACAATGTTGTTGAGCATTGTTGCTAAGAAGGAAGAAACTAACAGCTAAATGCATTTGATTCCTAACCCAAGATCACTGCTAAAGATTTGTCTGACTGTAGTGTAGAATTACTTTTAGGCATAGGTTTGTACACCCAAGGTGCTCCTTTGCTGCTCAGGCATCCACCTGGGTGGGCAGTTTTGTTCCACATTCTCCCTTTCCTGAGTTGGCTTGGCCATTCTCTTCTGTCCTACATTGCCCCCTACTGGCAGATTGTCACCTTGCAGCAGACAGTTCCTGACTCCTCCATATTTATTTCCTTCATACCTGAAGAAGTAAAGTTGGACTGTTAGGTAGTATTAGCAACGGACGGTTGGTTAATTATGTATTCCTGTTTCCAACAGCTGGTTGTAATGGATGAGGTTGGTCCTCATCAAGAGAGGAGAGAAACTAAAATGCTTACTTTTCTCTCCGTCAAAGCTGCTTTGCTCCGCCCCCGCTTTCTATCAAATGCTACAGCTCTAAAATATTTTTCCTGAGTCCTTGGATGTAGCATTTGCAAACCAAAAGGGATAACAAGCAAATGAGGTGTTTAATCATTATAGCAGAGCCACGTAGAAACACAGGCCAGCATTTTGAAAGCTCCTTGAAATATTGGAACTACTTGGGAGTCATAAATTCACATCCTGCTAGTGGTTGGGAATCAGCTACATTTCAAAACCAGTTGCAAGTCCAGGTTAATTCTGATGTTAGATTTTGCATGCTTGGATTCATTTTTGGTAATGTCCCCAAGGAATTATAGCTTAGGAACGGGCTATCTCATAGATTTTCCAAGTTTGATTTGTTGGCTTTGATGAATCTTGATTAGGAGATTCTAGGAGAGTCACACAGGCTGTTAATTCCTATTTAAGTTTTCCAAATATTGATGCTCATCACAAGTCTCTGAGCATAACAGAAAGTTAAGTACCTGGATTTCTAATTACAGGGTTCTCCCTCAAGTATTCACCCCAATGCCCCTGTCTCTTCCTCTCTACAAAGCCCTCTAAATAGCAATAGCACTTAGACTTATATACCGCTTCACAGTGCTTTACAGGCCACTCTAAACAGTTTACAGAGTCAGCCTATTGCCCCCAACAGTCTGGGTCCTCATTTTACCCACCTCAGAAGGATGGAAGACTGAGTCAATCTTGAGCCTGGTGAGATTCGAACTGCCAAATTGCAGGCAGCTGGCAGTTAGTCGAAGTAGCCTGCAGTACTGCACTCTAACCTCAGTACTGCGCCACCACCGCTCCTAAATCAGTGTTTCTCAACCTCAGCAACTTTGTGTCGGTGTGTAGATTTCAACTTCCAGCTTTCCCCAACCAACTTGATGGCTGGGGAATTCTGGGAATTGAAGTCTTAAAAGTTGCTAAGATTGGGAAACACGGCTTTAAATGGAAGCAGTGCCGTTTAAAGCACTTATTCTCAATCTGGACAAGTTGAAGATGAATGTTGACATGAATTGGAGTTGACCTGGAGCTGTTTTTCAGTCCAGCCAAGTATATAAACTGACGAATCTCTCCATAGGAATTATGAGTCGGTAACTCTCACATCTACTATATTTTGAGCTGCACGTCCCATCGGTTAGGAGCACGGGGTCTAGATGCCTTGCTGAGCTTGCCCAGTCATCCCTTGTTGTGGCTGTGTTGCCTGAGGGACTGAACAACATTTGTTACGGAGCACATTCTTCTCCCTACTTATTTCTGAATAAGAAACATTTGGCATTTTCTCCATCCCAGCTTCATGGACATTTTCTTTCATTGCTTCTCCAGGATGGAGTCTACAGAAAAGTGTGAAGCCATCATCACCCACTTCAATGGCAAATATATCAAGACACCTCCTGGGGTCCCAGGTGAGGAAATACTATAAGGGTGCGGGTGAATTGTTTCCTTCCCAGAGGAACAAAGGTTTAGTAGAAGCAGTAGCAGTAGCAGCAGCAGCAGCAAGAAGAGCCGTGTTTTTTGTGCACCTGTAAAAAGGGCATCATACAAAATAATATAACAATGTTGAGACGTTAGTACGGTAGCTCCCTATCTAGCAATTAAGATCACAACTACTTTATACAGACTCAGTAACTTGAATGGCCTGTAACTGTTAAAATAGGCCTTTTGAAGTTAGATCTAAACAACAAAGCATTTTTGCCCAAATAATTAATACTTAAACCAGCTTGAAAAAAAATCCCATTAAAAAAAAAAGAAAGAAAGATTTTAGCATTGTTTAAAATGCTGACAAATTAGACTTCTCGGCATAACATAGTTCTAGAGGGCTGGCATTAAGATGTGAAAAAATTCTCAAATCTGATGTCACCATTTTAGTATGAGGTGGTACAGTCACCCATAGCTAAATGTTCAGATCATGGAGAGGAACTACCATCAGTTTTTCCAGTTAAGTAGCTGTGCCTGTGAAGACCTGGTAGCCAAAGTGCAAGACCCAATGAGTTAGCTAGCAATTAGAGTTGGTACCTTTCATAAATACTTAGCCACTTGGGAGCCCCCAGGATTAATTCAGGTTAATCCTTCCTGTACGCTTCCTTCAGGAAGGTACAGAATAGCACACACTGTACTGTTCTAGATCCAAATCATCAGATAAATAAAAATGTTAGGTGACCTGCTAAGACATTGTTGCAATAATCCAGCTAAGGGATGATCAGGGGGCACTAAGCAATTGCTTTGCTGTTTCTGTGATGAGGAACTGATAAAGCCAATTAATATTCTTTAAATGCAAGCTCCAAGTTTTTTATTATTACCTGTTCACAACAATGGGAAGTCACAGCTGCCATTTAAAAAAAAAATGGTGTTAGCCTTCATACACACAGAGTTTTTCCCAAGAACCTAGGAAGTTATACTGTATCAGTGAAGTATATGTGTGGATTCAAACAGTGATCTTTTTCAAATGACAGGTGGAAATTTTGTGTTATGTGCAGGTTTTTAAGTTCCATCCAAGATTTTTTGGTGTGGTACCCAGTATGCCAATAACCACTGGGACACAACAGGGCCCCTTTATGCCACATTCATTCAGTTTTGATTGTTAATTCTTGATAATTTGTAATATTCTCCAGTTCTTTGTTTTCTATTCTACTTCTCCAATTCTTTGTCTTCTGTTCTACTGTCCCTTGCTATTATCACATCAGTTAGCCACATTTTCTTCTTTTCAACCATAGCTAAATTGTCAGTTTGTATTCAGAAATCTCACAATATTTTAACCTTCCTCATTTCAACTACTTTTTCAGCTTTATGTTCCCACCAATTTTTCATTATTGGTACATGGTCATTTTTACAGATATTGTAGTGAATCGGTTGTTTTTAGATTTTTATCCTGCCTTTTTAAAAATTTGGTCAATTCAAGGTGGTGCACATATGTCCAGCCTATTATTTTCCCCAGAATAAAATTATCAGTGAAGTTTCCTGCCCCCCCCCCCCACAATGAAAATGGATCATTGAGTTGGACTCAACTGGTGGCAACTGGCTGCCTAAAACCAGAAAGAGAGAGAAGGGGTGAGATACAATAGTTTTCACATTTAGTTTGAGATGGAGGAAATCCATCCAGCCCAACATCAACATCCATCAAAATATTTGGAAAGATGGCTGCCTCACTCAAAAGTACATTTCTGCGTTGTCTCTGTCTCTCTGTCTATCCGTTCATCCATCCATCCATTCACCTACCTACCTACCTACCGGTATTTATTTTTATTTTATTTAATTTGTCAATTGCTTACAAGATAATAGGTATAAGTATAAACATGAGTAAGAATACAGGAAATAGGTACGAATAAAGGGGGACAATAGGACAAGGACGGGAGGCACGATGGTGCACTTATGCATGCCTAAATCAATCTATCTATCTATCTATATCTATCTATATCTATCTATATCTATCTATATCTATCTATCTATCTATCTATCTATCTATCTATCTATCTATCTATCTATCTATCTATCGATCGATCTATCTATCTATCGATCTATCGATCTATCGATCTATCGATCTATCTATCCATCTATATCTATCTATCATTTATCTATCATAGTGAAACTGATTAGAAGAAATCAATGAAGCCAAAAGAGCAGTGGACAAAGTTAATTAAAGAAACCCTTGGAGCCCCCACTTACAAATGAAAAAGCTAGGATATGGCACCGTTCCACATCACAGAAAAAGTGTCCTGAGATAAGCAGGAGTAAAACCATTGCAATGCAGTATGAGCAAGTTCTTTGGAGGTAACTTCAGAAGAGGGCAGTGTGGCTGAATGGTCAGGGTTTCAAGTGCAGCAGAAAGAAGCTAACAGTGCTGAAACTGGAGCTAGATGGTTCTCCATTTATAATGCATAAAACCGTGTCGTTGTACGTAACCTGGTTGAAAAGGGTCCATAAATTGCTGACGGTGAGACAGGGAAGGAACAGAGAGCTACTGGAAAAGAACATTTTACCAGCCTAATGAGAAGAGTCAGGGAGAAAGGCTATTTAGTAAACACAGAAAGGAGGGAATTGGATCAGAAGGGCTCTTCTGATCAAATGGGTCTGCTAAAATTATTTTGGCTGCTGCCTCTTCCTGTGAAGTATTATTTAAATAATCTAAAACTGACCCAGTGCTCAAATTGTGGCCAGGAGAGGAGGGGTAAAACACTCCAACCAGGAAGAGACAGGATTGGAGTAAGCAGATAAACAAGTTAGAATAGCAGGATGCTCTGAGAGGAATGTGTGGGGGAAGATTTGGAGCCATTTCCTATGTGCAGCAGAGTTAAGGGATCATATTTTTTCCATGGAGTAACATTTTCACAGCGTGGTTCTTGTGGAATAGTTAGACGTCACTCCCAATAGAGGTATCTATAAGAGGGACATTTTTATTTCCTTATTTGTGTCCAGCTCATCACATCTCTAATAAGATGGGGATCTACCAAAAGAATTAAAGGTTTTTTGACATTTCCAGGCTGTGATCAATTGATCATGTCCAATAAATGCAATATTGTGTTGTCTTCCGCTCGTTTTCCTTAGCTGCCTTTTATAGGTTGCTCCTTGGTGGTGATGAGGTTGTTGTTTTTCATTGCATTTATGTCCCCAATTTTGTCTGAACACTCCAGTAGCTTACATGGAGACTGACCTTAATTTAATTCCCACAACAATAAAGGTGGATTATGCTGAGAGGAGATGACTATCCCCAAATCACCTAAACAGTCTTTGTGTCAGAGAAGTGCTTGATCAAGTCACATCCGATGCTGCAGTGGCTACAGCTACAGACTGTCCAGTGCAAGCTGCGATAAAACTAGGCTGCATAACAAAGCTAAATTTGGGGAGAGGGAGCACAGCCACTCCACTCACAGGAAGCATATATGATTGGGCCAGACCCATAAAAAATTGTCCCAACTATTTTATGCCTCCTTTTTGACAAGCTATTTTAATCTGCTTTTCCAAAGTGGCCATATCTGGTGCCCTCCCTTTCCCCTCATAACTCACAGAATAGTGGCTCCTTGGTTTTAGGGCATGTATCAGCTGGCCCTTCTGACTTGTTGGCCAAGGGCCCAGTGGAGGGAAGCAGGAGTATCCTCTTGTACATAAGTGCTACTCATGTGGTAGTAATTCAGGATGCTATGTAGCTCTGTACACTCTCCTAGCTGAGGGAGAAGAGAGTGGTTGCTTGGCAACAAAAAGGAAGGTTAACCACAAGAGTTCAAGGAAAACAGTAGCATGACACTGAAGTCTGCAAGTCTTTACATGGAAAGCTGCCTAGGCCACACACACACACTGTGGACGGAGGCTGTAGCATTCCCTACAAAATGCTAATAGGCCTAGCACTGATGTTAAAATAAAAGTCTGCAGATGGTCTCATAAAAGTCACAGAATTGATGCTAGCTATAGCTCATCTGACTTCCCCTCGGCACGGCTGGATCCTGAACAATTTGCAGAAGGTTTCATTCTCTTTTTTATAGCCATGAAGGGAGAAAGAAAGAAAGAAAAGAAAAGAAAGACAGAAAAAGGAAGGAAGGAAAGAAAGAGAAAGAAAAATAAAGAAAAGAAGGAAGGAAGGAAGGAAAGAAGGAAGGAAGGAAGGAAGGAAGGAAGGAAAGAAAGAAAGAAAGAAAGAAAGAAAGAAAGAAAGAAAGAAAGAAAGAAAGAAAGTATCATCTGTGATTCAGAGGTAGAATGAAGTCACTGAGAAGAAGAGAGGATAAGCAGCTCCGTGTCCAATGTGATCAGCCATGGCTTGTCCCTTTTGGATCTTCAGGTTGATACAGCGGTTATTGCTACAAAGCAAAGCAGCATCCTGTTAAGGAGTACATCACGGATGGGACAGTGTGTGGAGTGGAATCCAATGTATCCAGTCAGCTGTGAGGAGAAGATTTAAGTTTAGATTCAAGTGCATTGAGGGGATACTGAGACCTAGGAATATCATTCATCCTACTGGTAGGAGCGTCTAGATATGTTACAACAAAATGTCCCAAGGCTAAACTCAGCTTTTTTTTCCCCCCTGCAGCTCCTCCAGATCCACTGCTTTGCAAGTTTGCTGATGGTGGCCAGAAGAAGCGCCAGAATCAGGGCAAATATGTGCAAAATGGACGAGCCTGGCCAAGGGAAAGTGATGCGGTAAGGAGGGGGGAGAACTTGATAAAAACGAGAAGAACGAGAACTTGATAAAAAGTTTATAGGACACCTTTGCTCCTAGCATGGGAACTTCCCTTTTTTGAAATAATTTTTATTCAGAATTGTATTGTATAAATAAAACTAATAAAAACTACAATCGATTTTTTTTGACAAGCCCAGCAAGTACAGTTAACATTAACAACTTTTTACTCTCTCTTAAAATACAACCGATCATTTCTTCATTCCATATCCCACCCCACTCTCTATCCACAAAACTTTAAAACCTCATCATCTCCATCAGCAAAAGTCCATTAAGTCTTAAGAAATAGATTAGATTAGATTAACAGAGTTGGAAGGGACCTTGTAAGCCATCTAGTCCAACCCCCACCGAAGCAGGAGACCCTACACCATTTCTGACAAATGGCAGTCCAATCTCTCAAGTGATGCAACGTAACTATTGCAAAGCATGTTCAAAAAACCCATTTTGAATCTTGTTTTCACATTTATCCCTAATTTTCTTTAGACAAATCTCCCCATCCCAATTCTTCAGATATTTATTTATTTATTTATTTGCATCCCGCCTTTATTATTTTTACAAGGCTGCAAAGATATCCAACACTCCTTCCTCCTCCTGTTTTCCCCAATAACAAATCTGGGGGGTGGACTGAGAGAAAATGACTGGCCCAGAGTCACCCAGCTGGCTTTAATGGCTAAGTTCATTTAGTTCAAAGTGACAAAAGCCCTCAAACAAGTGACTTACAACTGTTTCTCGTACCAACGATCGCTGTAGCACATATGATCTAAATTGGGAATTGGTTCATATTTATGACGGTTGTAGCGTCCCACGATCCCCTTTTGCGACTTTCTGACAAGCAAAGCCACTGGGGAAGCCAGATTCGTTTTACAGCCGGGTAACTAACTTAACAACTGCAGCAATTCACTTAACAACTAAGGCAAGAAAGGTCATAAAATGGGGCACAACTCACTTCCCAGCTGTCTCACTTAGCAACAGAAATGTTGGGCTCCATCGTGTTTATAATTCGAGGACTACCTGTAATCCTACGACTGCTAGCTGATAGTAAGCAGCGGCAAAACCCTTGGTTTCTACCATACACTCACAAAAAGTAGCTGTCCGGAATACATATGAGTAATCTCAAATGTCTCTCCTTTCTCCGGAGAGATTTTGTCTGCCTGGGTTCCACATCCCGCTACCATTTTCAGCCGTAATCTCTCCCACTGCTCCGTGGTAGGTCAGTGTGCTATTTCCTCACGGGAAGTCTACAGCTTCATCCCTGTCATGGGACGTGCTAAGCAAACTGGTTTGCCACCCTTCCCTTTGGATTTTGTGAACTGGCCACAAGATGTGCCAGGCTAAGCTTAAGAGACAGGAAGACTGTTCTCTTAACAGCTTGACCGGCTGTACTGACAGGCTGCGAAGCTGGTTGAGAGAACAGGTTTTCTGCTGGCCTGGATAAGGCTTGTGACTTGTTCCTGGAAAGGTGATATCGTAACTCTTGCTTCACTGGGCTGAGAACCTGGTGCACTGGGGAAGAGGAAAAAGGCCTGAACCATATGTGAATTAACTGTTGTTTCCTGCAGGGTGGGATGACATTGACTTATGACCCTACAACAGCGTTACAAAACGGGTACGTCTTTCTTGTGCTTTCACCTTTTATTGGTACAGTAATATTTTCATTAGAAATGATAGGAAAAATGGGGCCTGGCAGAATGAAACTGGCAACCACTGGGAAGAGAGGTCTACCGTTTTTGGAAGACTTCTAAAAGGCGACTCCTATTTCCTTTGCAGGTTCTATACAACGCCCTACAGCCTGGCCCCGAACAGGATGATTGCCCAGACTGCGCTCTCCCCTTATCTCCCATCACCTGTTTCCTCTTACCAGGTGTGTTACTTTAGCAGCTAATACTGGAGAAGACAAACTGGGATCTGAGTCACTACGAGAGCTTGGAAACAGCTATAAACTAAGAATGGGGAGGAGAAGGAGGCAACCTTTCCTTTCCTTTCCTGCAGAGGACTTCACAGACTGATGTATCGGCCACGTACAATAACAAGATTCCATGATTAACATGGCTTGGGGCACTAATAACGAGTCAGAAATGGCAAGAAATGATGTGACAATATTATGTAGGAGCAAGCCAACATGGCAGGGGCTGATGCATTTGTCCCCTTGTGTTTCCCCAGTAGGAAAAAAAATATGAGAACATATGTCTGATTTTTTTAGAACAAATGGAAGGTAATTCTGGTTGACTTTCCTGTTGTATCTTCTATTCAGCTAGCAGAAGTTACCTCGTCTAGATAAAAAAAAAATGGTTTACAGAGCTGCAGTGGTTAGAATGCAGTACTGCAGGCTACTTCTGCTGGCTGCCTGCAATTTCTCACCAGGCTCAAGGTTGACTCAGCCTTCCATCCTTCTGAGGTATTGGTAAAACGAGGACCCAGATTGTTGGGGGCATTAGGAGGACTCTAAAACCGCTTAGAGAGGGCTGTAAAGCACTGTCAAGCGGTATAGAAGTCTAAGTGCTATTGCTATTAAGCAGAAAAATCTACCAGGGTGCGAGCTGTTTACCAGAAGTCCTCGGTTGAAATCTTACGTGAATTACTTGGATATTGTTTCTCCGCCTCTTTCATGACAGCAGGATGAATAACTCAATCTATTTTTTAGGACTATTTTTTTGCTAAGAGACCATGCATAAAACATGCTGTCTTATTCTAGGTCCACAGTCCATCTTGGATGCACCATCAGTCATACCTCATGCAGCCCACGGTGAGAGCTATTTCTGCCTGCCTGCCTACTACCTACTTTCCTACCTACTACCTACCTACCTACTACCTACTTACCTGGAATCCTCCATTAAGGAAAACGTTGCAAAACTTCTCACAGTGCTGATTAGTTTCTTTAATTATGAATTCAGATGGAACAGTGAAAGTTGGACTTGGTTGTGGGTTTTTTTCTTTTGAAACTTGCAAGAGCTTGGGCTTTCTCCCTTTCTAGTCCAAATAACAGGAAAAATGATTAAATTGTGTGATTGTTGTTTTTTTGTTTTGTTTCGTTTTGCTTGTCTTCCTGGGCCAGGAGGGTAAAAACACTTACACGTCATCTGTATTAAAATAACAACTAATATACTTTCCTACTCGGTGGGAAAACCTTTTTTGCTTTTAATTCGAAGTGCTGTGTTGTCAGCTTGTCCCACCTTTTCTAATTATCCCCCCAATTTGAACTTTTGGGGAAATGCAATGCTTTCCTACCAGAATCTGTTGTAATGCACATTGTTCTTAGGATGTTTATACACTCCTCCCTTCCATCGCTTTCCATTTGGTCTCGTTAACGGTGCCCTCTTTTACTCAGTTCGTATTTTGTTCCCAAGCAGGGGACGGTGCTCACACCTGCCATGGACCACGCCATTTCCATCCAGCCCACTTCCATGATGGGGCCTCTCACCCAACAGCTGGGCCATCTGTCCCTCAGCAGTGCTGGCACAGTAAGGACCCCTTTTCTCCTTCCCTCTCTTTGGTGGGGCTTGAGACCCAACCCTGCTGCGTCCTCTTGATGTTTTCTCTCCTTCTTGCCAGTATATGCCAGCGGCAGCAGCTATGCAAGGAGCCTATATTCCCCAGTATACACCGGTGCCTTCCTCTAGTGTCGCAGTTGAGGTAAGAGGCCCTTTGGTCCTTCCTGCTTAAATTAGGAATGCTTCCTTGGTACAGATTTATGCCTTTAAACAGAAAGGCCCCAATGCTGAGTTCACACAATAACTTTGAGCAAGCTAAAACGGGCATGGAAAATGTGTGGCTTATTTTCTTCTGGGATTCCAACTTCTGCCATAGCAACTGGCTCTTACGTTAAGCCATTGCGGGGGGGGCACGAGTGAGTCACCTAACATCTTATGTGAATCCAGCAACTGTGGTTTATTAACATGGGTTTGGGATTTGGTGTGTTGTGTGAACTCAGCCTCTGGACTCTATATGGGCTGGGCTGGGGTAAATTACAAGCCTATTCAGGGTTTTGCACTGATAGACATTTTGGTTTTGTGTGTTTCCAGTAAAGAGGAACAGGTTACTGAGGGTAAGTGGGTGGGTGGAAACCCAGAGCATGTTTTATAGATTTTTGAAACGGCATCGCTTAAATATGCTCAGGAATGGAAGAGGATTCCCATATTCCACTGCCACCCTTGCCATGACTTTTGCGACCTTTTCTTCTACACACACACACACACACACACACACACACACCACATCTTTTGGAGCTATGGTGTAGACATGCTTCGGATAATGACGTTTTCCAAACTAGCTTAAATTAGTCTGGGAAGTCAATCAGCCGCTAATCTTTAATAGGCCCTATTCCAAAATGAGCTCTTGCTTCTACCCACTGGTGTCTTCCCACAGAGGGAACCCTGAACGTTTTTTTCTTCCGAGCCGCATAGCGTCTCTCTATGCTGAGCGTTAAAAAGGCAACGTGGAGAAAGCCTCCGAGTCCCATCGCAAGGTTGTGGGGGCGGGGGGGCGGGTCTGAGTCTGTGTTTGTGGGTAAGACAAGACCAGTTTCCTGTTGGTAGAAAAGCCACATGGCAAGCTCCTGAGCCCTTCGTGAGGGAAGTGGGGAGGACTGATTCCCTACCAAGCCACCGAGCTGTTTGACCGTGCTCATCTTAGTGGGGCTGAAAGGTTTGGGGAAGGTATGGCTACCATCCCAATTCCCCCAATGGGTATTTTGTCACAGGAGAACAGTGGCCAGCAGAGCCACGTGACAGTGGAGTCTCCATCGGATCATGCTGCCTACTCGTATCAGTACAACAAGTAACAACAGGTAAGGACAGGAGGGGGGGACTGACACACACACACACACACACACACACACACACACACACACATATAAGAATATATATATTCTTCTCCCAGAGATAGCTCTGTTCTTTTCATTTACTTAAATCCTTTGCCAGTTCCAGAAAAATAACTGAATTTGGAGCTTATGGCTGGTGCCTTGGGCATTGGCCCTCGAGCGCAAGAAGGTAACCTCTCAGGGTAATTTGAGCAATCTGGATGGTTTCACTCCCTTTTCTCTCCTCCCAAGAGGAGAAGGAGTGGTGCAGAGAGTAAGAAAGATGAGAGAAAGCTTAGGAGTTAGGAGTCCATTGAAGACATTTTCTTCAGCAATTCCAGAAACCTGGATTTGGTCTCCTCCGCATGCCCGGAAAGCTTCCTTAAAGGAGGTTAGCATGGCATTTGAGAACAGGGACATTGACTAGAACTGGGAATGTGTCCTAGAGGAGATTGACAGAGGAACCTCAGTCTCTATTTGACAGCATCCAGTCATGGTCAATTGGGAAATGAGATCCAGGGTCCTCCCCTCCCTATCCTTTACCATGGTGGGACAATAAGTGTGGCTTGGAAATTAAACAACCTGCCCCCTTCCCCAGGGTCAAAAACCACCCGTAGAAAACTGGTTTGTGGGCTTGTGCTTAAGCAGGATTTAATTTGTAGCAGAGCTCCGTGCTTCTTCCTGCCGCTTAATTTAAAAGAGAATAAAAAGGGTTTTGAAGTGCCTTAAGCACAGGCAGGGGGCTGAACTACTCTGTTACTCCTAAATAAGGAAAAAGGAAGCCCAGAGGCGAGACTTGAGTCTCCGCATCATGTTCCACAGAGCATTTCTGGAACGAGCCGGACATTGTTTGTGGCCTTTGTTCCCAGAATTCTTAGCAGTAGCTGTAGTGACAGGGGCATTCTGGGAGTTGAAGTCTCCACGTCTGGAAATCACCTAGGTTGGTTGAAACTGCCCAGCAGTGGGATCCTCTCTGTTCCACTACCGGTTCGGTCATCGCACGCGTGCATGCACACCTAACACCACGCACGCATACCAGCTGAGGCCTGCAGCGCCAACCAGCTGAAAGGATAAAGAAGAGAAAAGCGCAGGGGCGGGTGGGAAGGCCGATCCTACGCTTTTCTCTTCTTTCTCCTCTCAGCTGGTTGTGGAAGATTGTTTTCCTCTTCTCAGCTGATCATTGGAGGCTTTTTTTTTTTTTTTACTACCGGTTCGGCTGAACCAGTCAGAACCAGTAGCATGCCACCACTGAGGCTGTCCCCCCCGCCCCCCGAGTTCCAAGAATGAAGATGAATCAAACTTCTCACTGAGATAGGATGCAGAATCTCCTCCTTGTCCCAGGAACAGGCCCCAGGTTTTTTTTTTCTGTCAGGATCATCAGATTTGGGCACTTTGGGCACAACCAAAAAATGATTGAGCAGAGAGTGGAATGTTAATGAGACGAATAAGGATTCTCGCCTTTGCATAGCCTGGCAATTATGTGACCAAGTGTTTTCTTCATCAGGGGATTGAAGGGTAGGTGGCCTTCAGGAACAACTGACCGTCACCTGCTGAACCTTTTGCACATCGGCCTCATTTGTTCAATGACACCTATATTGTATATTGATCTTTAAGGTGTCACAACACTCGTTTGTTCTCCCAAGCAGGCTAATAGGACTCTCTGCTTGGAATTCTGAGATCAACTCTCAGAATGACCTTTTTTTTTTTTTGGAAGGGGCTCCTGGTGTGACATCAACATTTCCCACAGTGAACCCTTGAAGGAGGCCAACGTTCTGTGCCTCAGAGGGGGCGCTTCCTTTGTTCACTGCAGGAAATGCAGGGCACGGCTTCCTGCAGCAACTCTTCAGTGCAGAGCTGCCCTAAACTAATTCAGACCTAACCATGTCCACCCCTTCAGTCCAAAGGCCTTCTTCTCCCACATACGTAAGTGGCTGAAGGTTGAGGCCGAGGGGCTGAGTAGGTCGTGTGTCGCTCAGATAGAGCCTTCCAGTGCTTCCCAACACATTGGACACCAGGGCGGCTGCCAGAAGCGGTGGGGAGAGAGAGGCCGAAGGAGGAAGGCTTGGGAATAGGACGTTTTCTCTTCTTGCTTACTACTTTGTGTGCCACGCTAACTACCTCCACCAATGGTCTTTGTTGCCCACTCTCGTAATTCCCTCCATTTTTCATCCCTTTAGTGCCACCGAGCAGCTCAACTCTGAGCAATCACTTCGAGGGAGACAACGTGGTTTGTTTTTTGTTTTGTTTTTTGGTTAAAATTTTGTGCTGCGTTTAGAAGATGTTGGAACCATTTTTGTTTTTGTTTCTTTTTTTCTTCTTTTTTCTTTTTGGCAAAGAAAAAGGTTGTTTTGTTTTCTAAAAAAAGGAAATAACCGCAATAGACTTTTGTCACCGAGGAACCAAAGGAGGTTAGAATGGGGGTACAAAAAAAAAAAAATACCCCCAACCCTTAGATGTACAGATGGACTAAGGACTATTTTAATACGAGAACATTTGTGTGTGTGTATGTTTGCGTGTGTGTGTGTGCGTGCGTGCGTGTTTATTTTCTTGATAACAGCAAAGTCAAACGCTTTGGATGCCCCAGAATTCCCCAGAGAAGAAAATGAATTTTTTCCCCCGCTTCTTTTGGAAAGCTGGTTCGGTCCCTCTGTGGAAGGAAGGTTTTTTTTTTTTTGCTCCTTTGAATTCATTTTGTTTTCTTTGGTCATGTAAAAGATTTTTTAAAGGACAAATATGCAAAAGTGTTTGAATATTTTTTCTGTTGTTGTTTTATAAGGAAAACAAAAATGCTCTGAAAAGCCCCACCTCGCAGCTGTAGGATAAAAATCAGTGCGGAATTCTTTTTTTTTCTTCTTCTTCTTCTTCTTCTTCCTTGGGGTGGGAGCGGGGAGGGAATTTTGCTTTGAAAGGATTATTTTATTATTTCAAGAGGGTATTTTTTTTCTAAAAAAGACAAATTTACAAAAAAATAAAAAAGAGGAAATTTACAAAAAAAAAATTCAGAAAAAAAAGGAAATCTTAAAAAAAAAAGTTGAACTTTGGCGGCAGCAAGAGGGGTTTGCTTAATGCTTGTCAAGTTGGAATGAAATGATGCGGCTGGAGGCATCGGATGAACTTTATCCCGGTTTTTTGTTTTGTTTTTTGGCATAAATTTTGCCTCAGCTGAGAGAGAGAGAAAAAAAAACAGAGTTTGCGCCAGACCTCAATTTCTGCCCTCTGTCCAATTGGACTATTTTTTGCTGGATGTTTTGGACTGATTTGAGCTTCTGTGCAGACCTGTCTTTGCTTCCATGGGGAGGCTTCCCCCCACACCCTCGCCTGCCCCGTCCTGCCCTGGACCAGGGGAACAATAAACGGACTAAGGAATCTGCCGCCAGTGATGCGTCGTCACCTCTGGACTCTTGGACGTTGAATGGACATGTTGCCAGCAGCAGTGCTTCGCCCCGTCCCCCATCCCCGGGATACACAAACACACACACACACACTCTTACACGCATACACACAGACACAGACACAGACACACACACACACACACACACACACACACAGTGCCTTCTGCTGCCTGCGGTCCGGACTGTGCTGCCGTAAGCCCCCTCCACTTTCCGCCCCCCAGTTCCTGCATGCCTGCCAAGCCCAGGTCCACACTGCATCCGTTTTTTCTCTCGACCAACTCAGCTGGGAACAGGTGCTTCTCCTTCCGACTGGTGGGGACTGCAGGAAGCCCGTCCCGATTGCCGTGAACCAAGCAACCAAGGAGCATCAAGCACCTTGCAGGGGATGTCCCAGCTCTCCCCCCCCCCCCCCCCCCGCTCCCGGAGACCCTAGTTACTATGCACGTTATCCCTCCCTCCCCCAGCCCTTGATTGCTGGCTGCGCCCTGAGATTTGCAATAGGAGGAGACTATGTGCAATAATTCAGCCTTTCCTACCTTGTGTTTCCCTGCAGAGCCTCCTGAAGTGCTTTAGACACCTCTGCATGTTCCCTTCCCCTCTCCGCCCCAACCAGATGGTGCTAAAAGTCATCCTCTCTTCCACCATAAAGTCACCCCCAGCCCAGCCCAGCCCAGCTGGCATGTAGCTGACCCTTCCATCCCGTTGTCCCACCAACCGACGTTTGCTTTTCCCACCATGGGCTGTGATCACCTTGTTCCCCTTTCCTCTCCCCCCCCCCCCACTCCCTGCTGGCCCCTTCCTTTGAAGAAATGGCTCTTATGCAGCTGACAATCAGGAAGGAGCAATGGCGGAGGCCATACGGGTGTCACGTGAGTCTAGGAAAGCAAGAGTACTGTGTGTGCATGTGTCCCTATCTATCTTGGTTTGCGTGTGGGCCATCCATGCCTTTGAGGGAGTGGAGGCAGATCTATGGGTAGGGTGACATATCGGAGGAGGTGGCATAAATATATCGAGTGTAATTGGATTTGTGCGTTGCTCAGGATCCTTTTGTCATCTTAACCATTTTGAAAGCATGGTCCTGACCCCAGCAAGAGCAGGTTGGCTTCCTGTTGGGAGGTTTGGGGAAGGTTCAGTTCGCCCCATCCTCACAGTCCTTCAGCCAGGCTGCTTAAGATACCTTCCCGCATTGCTCGTGACAAGGGACGACCCAGAGACACGACCGTAATGCCACCCAGACAAGAGAGGCGAGACTGACAGTGCAGGAGCCCAGAGTGGATCCAAAGGCTGGCTACCTTTGGTGCCCCTTTCTCTAGCCTGGCCAGACCTTCCTGGTTGGCCTAACCACACACCCCTCCCCTCCTAATGCTGAGAGAAACTGAAGTGCCTTTTTTGGGGCATGCAAGCTTGCCTTCATCTTTATGTTACGTGATCTTCGATGGGCTTCATCTGTGGCCAAACGGAGTTTTGCAGGGTCCCAAAATGGATTGGGCTGGCTAGTTAAATAATAATAATACTAACAGTAGTAATAATAAAGAATACCGTAACTGAGATTCTGGTTTCCAACTGACCCCGACTATTTGGGGGGGGGTGTGTGAAGGCAGAGGAGCACACAGTTTCTGCAGGACGAGTAAAGGAACTTCCCAGCTAGATCGGGGTTTATACCTGCCCTTCCTTCCCTCTCGTTATTTGCCTGCAGAGATCACATGCCAAACCACAGGGAAACTTTGAAAACACCTCGCATCTGCACTCAAAGTAATTACAAGCTGCAAAAGGACTCTACTTGAGAAATCTGTTCCAAGTTTGCTCCAGATATGGCCTGCAACCTCAAGACTACATTGGGGTACACCGGGTCCTTAACAGGCCACTTTCCTGCCTCCACCCCCACCCCAGTTTTTTCCAGCAGCTTCTAGTTTTCTGTTTAATCCCCTAGGGCAGGGCTCTCCAACCTGGGCAACTTTAAGACTTGTGGACTTCAACTCCCAGAGTTCCTCAGCCAGGTTTGCTTTAAAGTTGCCAAGGTTGGAGACCCCCACCCTAGGGCCCTTTCTTATGCATTCCAGGTGTGTTAAAGCACAGCTCCACATCTGGAAGGCACTAGGGTGAGGAAAGATGTCCTATGAAATGTCCTTGGGGGTGAGAGAGATCTGTAGAAAGGCGCACACACTCCACCCTCTTGTTTTGATAGGATTCGTGCTGCCAAATTTCTTGCTAGGTTAGGATTCACAGCTGCTTGTCCAAATCCGCTACAAAATCTTGCTAAAATAATTAACAGTGGGTGGTTAGTGAAACCCATGTTATTAAAAAAAAAAAGATTTAAAAAGGGGGTGGGGGGTGTTGTCTACAAGATCTCCTGATCCTTAAATTTGATTCCAACAAATTGATGTGTTTACAGTTGGGATTCTCCTGGCTTGCATTAATAAACTTAACTTCAATCACCTCTAAGCACTCCTTCCCTTACTAGCTTATTCTAGATTGGAGTGGGAAATATGCTAGATATTTAGGCATTTGATGATGGCAACTAAGAATCTGATAGGTTCAGTCATCCCCTAGATTAAAATTAAGTCTGTGATTGTACAGCCTTTAAAGTGAGGCCATGTTTAAATGTAGCCCGTAATCAAAGAAGTAAAATTAAAAACTCCCTTTTGCTAAACTCTAAACTTGGAAACCTGTTAGAAAATAAACACCAAGGATCAGGCCTGACCATATTATGTTGCCTTGAAGCAGGTGATGAAAATATGAGCTAGCTTTCCAGCCCTGTCCTAGCTTAGGTATAATCATGAAAATCAGGGTCACTGTTTTCTTAAACAGTAGGAACAGCATTAAAATTAATTAGTTAAATTATTTATTAAAATCATTAAAATAATTGATTAATTTAACAAGTAAATAAAATCAGCAAATCCTGATATCAGAACTTTAAAACAGATAAATGCCAAACTTTTGATTTGGTTTGGCATTGTCATCAAGCTGTAAAACAGAACGGCTCACGGACGGCATCCCTCCCAAAGTTCTATCCTGCAAACTATGGGGATTTGTCTTTGAACCCAAGCTAATTTGGGAGATCAAAGTTATGGTTAATTAGCTACCTAGTTTATCTTGCTGCTGATATGAAATGACTATCCTAGCTTCCTAAATGTTGTCTCTTCTCTCCAGCACTCAGAGGCGGGGGTGGGTGGGTGGGTAGGGGGGGAAGCAAAGAAATCCAGAATACAACTCTGTAAAATTTAGTTATGATTAAGAGAGCAATCCTTACCTAGAAGGAAATTCCCATAAATTCAGGGAAATAGCTTTGAAGTAAATGTGCACAATTCCTGCGTTTTGTAGCCGTAGTGAAACCTCAAACACCTTATGTGGCCAGTGAGTTGGAGTTCAGGGTGAATGGGGGAATGTAGGCCCGCCCCCAATATTTCTGTCCTATCTCTAGTGCAATGCAAATCTGACCCTCATTGAACTGCTGGGATGGTTATCCGTGCACAGAAATGTATGTCAAAGGCATCGAAAGCCCCCAAAGGCTCTGTAAAAGTCAAGTACCAGATCAAGAGCTGCTTTGGAAGAGAGAGTTCCTCCTTTTGGCATACAGTACCTGCCTGCCTACCTGCAGGTACTGTATTGCTTTCCTGATCCGTGCATTTGGTATTCGGCTGCCATTAGATACCTAACATATCCTAAGCAAGTTCCCACCCCATAAAGAACACGGAGCTTTCCTCTGTGTTGGCTGTCCTTTTGGCATATGATCTGTTTATTTAAAAAAAAAAAAAAATCCCACAGCCCTCTCTGCCTTATGCTGGTGCTTAATGGATCCATAACTGTCTGCGGCAAAGAGATAAATACAAGTTTGCCAGCAAGGAGGTAACACACTTGTGGTCTAGTCTAAGTGTATCCCAGATACATAATCTTGAACCCATAAGACAAGATCACAGCACGCCCACTTGTCCAAACTGCAGTGTTCATTTCTAAATGAAGACAAAAGGCCTCAAGACCCCCTGCCTTATTGTCCTCTTTGTTTTCCCTTCTTTCTGATCTCTGGAAGCTGGTTCTTCTGAAGTGTTGATGGGTCTTCCTCTTTTAGAACCAGAGATTGGGGCTGGCTCACTGTTGGTCATCCTGGATGTGGAACAGGGGTTAGCATTTGGCAGAACCCAAACCCAGGCTATCGGATGGGGGAAATTACAGGAAGCAGTGTTTCAAATCCAGTTCTACGAGGCGGCCTTTGAGGATAGAAAAGGAGGGTGCTGGAAGCAGACTTGGCATGGTTTACCAAATGCGACTCCCTAGGAATCTAAATGATCACACGGCGCATTAGAAACAAAAGTAGAACTGAATCTACAGTAGAATTGCCACCAGGAATCACCATCCAAAGGCATTGGGACTGTTTTGACAATGGTAAAGCAGAGGTTGAGTCAGAGTAGCAGTGGCCGGTGTGTGGTGTGCATGCCGAGACAGAGATTGCTAAGAGTTTAGAAAAGAGGACAGCTGTAGATCAAAAATGTTTTGGAGGAAGCCCCCTGTGTGTAAGACTGAAGAAGATCAAAGCTAGAGATGGATGGGTGCAAGAATGAATGTAAGCCGATAGAAGAGAAATAACATGTGCTTTACAATCTTTCCCACGCGTTTTGCCCTTGCAAAGATTCCTTTTAAGCCTCAGCTCTATTCTCATTCCTCTTCCTGGACCACTGCCTCACAGCCCTTTCTCACCCAAGCTAGACGTTAGGTTTGTGCAACACTTTGGATCTAGATCCAAGCAGGTCCTTGGAATGCAAGAGTGCAGAGACCTAGCACCTCTCTGCGACTCTTTAAAGCAGCTGGGTTTTTATCAAGGAACCCATGGCAGCTGAAGAGGGCAAGTGTGCTATCCCAGGCAAAGATGCAGGGAGTTAAAAGAGTTAAAAGAGTTGCGGACAGGTGCTATTTGCACGCTTGAGATGCTCCTGTGCAATCCTTACTTAGATACGTGCTTTGGGGCAGTAAGAGTTTCATTATTTTACGTTTATTCCATCGCATCCATTTGGAACAGGAGCATAGTGGGGTGATGAGTAATGCTAGACTCTTCTCTCATCCTCGGTAGGCTGCAGAGGGCACTTTGGATGGTAGCCTTCCTGCTCCAGCCCCATCTCATGGGGTCTGCTGAAAGCTTACAGGAAGGCTCCAGCTTCCTGGCAGACTGCAAGTCAAGTCCACGGCTATAACCCACCTGCGGGATAGGAAGATCACTGTTACGATGCTTTACCATATATATATATCAAACCATCCCTTGCTTAAACCATGATCTGGAAGCCTGCATGCTTTGTGCAGGGACCAAACACAAGCAGCTGGGGCCTTTGGAGCCCACACCTCTGAGCTGCTGTTTTTTTCTTTTATCTTGTGCCTTGATTTCCCCTGTCCCATTCTGACAGCGGGGGGGAAACCAGTCCCTGCACTTTATAAATGCCCAGTCCTAGTTCAGCCTTTCTCCGTGTCAGTCTTCAAAAAGCAAGGATGCTGTAGTCTTGTCCTTCCTTTCTACCTGGCTGCTGCTCCTTATTCCGGCTCCTCCCCACTCCCCATAACCAGCCTTCACCCCATGTTTCCACCCACCACACTGGAGGAGAATGCAGCAGGCTGCCTCCAAGAGCTGATAGACGAGCCTCTCACATCTTAGGTCCATTTCCAATGTGGGTAGTTCAGAAAGCGAGCACCATCATCACCCTGAATTCTTTAGCTGTACCAACCCTGCACTCCTTGGAAGTTGGTGATGGGTGGGGGGAGGGTGGCGAGAGAGAGAGAGAGGAAACCCGGTTCAGAATTTTCCTTCATTTTTATGCTCATCAATTCCAGTTTCCATCATTCTTAGCTACACATCTACCTCACATGCACTCGCAGTTCATTTGTATACCCGGAACCGGCAAACTGCACCTTCTCCAAGGGATACGCTCCCCACCTCATCCTTAACAAGAGAAAACCCTTTAGGCTCCTCTGCTTTTGGGAAGTGGGAGAGAGAGAGAGAGAGAAGAAAAATGTTGGTTTGAATGGAAAAAAAAAATGACCCCTGTGTTGCTGCTAATTAATACAGTTTATGTTCAATGTACTCGTTTTGGCTTTGCTTTTCTAATTTTTTCTTGTAAAATGTATTAGTTTATTTAAAAAATGGAGCAGAAATGGTTTTGTCTAGAGAAGCATTTTCTTGTGGCTCTGTTGTGAGAACCCGACTGGGCAATAGTTGACAAGACCACCAAGTTGCTTCCCTCTTTCTCCCCCTGCTTTTTTGCCCCACGTCTCTGGAGCTTCAGGCTCTCTCCTTAGGGCTTCACTGCTCCCACCGGAAGAGATCAAGGGAGATTCCAGAAGGACAGCAGGCCCCCATCAGAGTTTCGTTTTATAACAGAGCACAGTGGTTCATGTTTTCTTGCAAAAGCAAGGCGTTACCCAATTTGGGAAGTATCAAAGCATATTAGAGGCTGCTGTCCTCTTAAAGAGTTTCGTTGTAGCTGAGTACGGTATTCGCAAGGGTTTGGTTTCAACAACAGAAAGAGAATCGTTGCCCTAAGATACGTCACACTTTCTAACCCACCAACACCTGTTTCTCCTGTAAAAACCACCAGGAGGTAGAATGCAGACAACAAAAACCGGCCAGACCCTGTTAACAAAATTAGCGGACTGACTTTTGAGCAAGGATTTACTTCATCATCTGTAAAAATTGTATAAGGTGATGTATGAATAGTATGGCTTTGGGGATGATGATAAATTGGGGGGGGAGGGGGTGTTGTTGTTTAAGGATATATTTAGTGCTACTATACTGTTAAAACTTTTCCAAAGATCAAACTCTGGTTCATTGTAAAGATGATGTTATGTGGATCCTTGGTTTGGCTCAGGATGGCTGATCTAGAGCCCACGAAAAAAGAAAAAAAAGAAAGAAAGAAGGATGACGTGCTTG